AAAGATATGCATCAAAAAGGCAAAGCACGGGAGATCAGTGTGCTAGACCGTGCATTTCAGAAATGCAAGCAACCCCCTGGAGCTGCAAGGCAAGGTTTTATCACACACAAACCACTAGCTAGCCAGGTCAGCTCAGAACCTTTCCCACTGCAAGGAGAAGGGAACCTGTCACTACGTTAGTACTCACACTACCTGGATTTGTTTTAGAAGAGTGCAGAGAGGAAAGCAACCAGAATGAGGGACAAGGTGGTAGAACACTGAAAAACAAAAACCCTAAGACATCTACACTGGAGCTGGTGATAACCATTTCATTTCAAGGAAGGATTAGACACCACGAATGTGTGATAAAAGACTGGTGAACGTGCCAAAAACAGGTTTAGAAAAGAAATTTCTGACAGTTCCTGTCTTTCCAGTCAAGGGCTATCAGCTGGGAGATGGAAGGAGAAGGAACACCCCAATGCTACAAGTTTCACAAGTCAGGAACCAGGAAAAGCAAAACCAGATGAACAGCATAGCCAAAAGGTTAACAGATAACACTGGACAAACCTGGACTGGAAACAGGATGTATGCTGCAGTGGAGACAAGCACTCTCCAACAAACAACACAGAATTTTTCTTTTGAAATCAGAGTTGAATGTCTTCCCTAAAACAGGCACTGTTTGAAACTGGGATTAATGTGGAGACATCAAAATCGGGCAGGGGATCGGATCAGGTGGACCAAATTGTACTTTACAACTTAATTAATTTATCACCAACAAGGAGAGAAAGAATTTGTATTTTTTACTGCAGGGGGCAAGGAAAGGAACAGACAGAAGACAATGGTTCTTTCCAAATTCAAAGTCACATCTACTCTTAGGTTGTCTCTGCTTTTGAGAATACTGAGGACTGATCCTCCAGCCTGGGTAAAATATTTCTCATGAGGCAATTTTCTTTCATCTCTCACCCAGCTGCACTGGTCTCAGAGCCTATTTGCAGTTTCTTATCCATTTTTCTCACCCCAAGAAGTTGAGACTCGTGGCTCTTAAAGCCATCAATAGAGTTTGCAAAAAACCTGTTCCAGAACTCAAGCTTACACATTTCCAATGCTACACTGCCACCCAAATAGGTAACTAGCATTTTAAACAGTCCTAGACAAGAAAAAACTGAGGACTGTATCAAAATGAGAGCAGTGCATAACCTGGATAACTCCAGCAGGCAACTTTTCCTGCTGGGAGTCTGGAGGAGCCACCACACAGGAGAGTTCTGAAATGTGCTCCTGGGGGCAAACGGAGGTTCTCTTTCTCAAGTACTTCTGAAATCTGTCAGGAATCCATCCTCCCTCACTGAAAAGATCCCAAAGAACCTGATAGTGAACACCGACTAAATTTTCTCCGAGTTTAAAATCAATAGTAAGTGATTAATCACCCCCCTGAAAACCTCCTCAATCAACAAAACCAAACTCTGCACTGCTGACAGCATTTGATCCAAGTAAAATCTATGGCACTCACACCTCACCCTAGCACTCACGTGTGGAAGATGTGAAGCACAGCCAAGAAACATATACCATATTAAGTATGTTTTCCCTTTTTCTCATAACACTGCAGAAAGGACTTCTGTCACCAATCAGTGTCGGACTCATTTTCACAACATGTGTTTGTTCAGCAAATCCAGATTATTTAGTGGCTATTAAGCAGATGCTGCTCTTAAAGTATCATGAGAACAGACATAAATACACAAGTCTGGGGGTTTGGTTGTGTTTTGTTAGTTTGGTTCTTCTGCTGGCTTGCTGTTTTGGCTTTTCCAAGAAGGTGTGATGCACCCAGAGGCATTTTGTTCTGTCATGGTTCTCCTCTATTCAAACAACGCAGTCCTCCTTGTGAGCACTGCTTATTCCAAGATGGCAAAACCTAGGCATTGTCCACAGCTCATTTTTAGCATGGTCCCCAGCATCCTTCCCATTCAGAGATGCCCATTTTACAGCTCCTCCAAGGTATTCTGAAAGGCTCTTCTGTATCTTAGTGCAAGGACTCTGCTCTACATTCAAGTCACTGACCATCTGGTTCCTGAAGCAGCTGAAGTTGCACTCAGGTTATTCTAACAGTGCAGAAGACTGAGCACTGTCATTGAAGGAGCTATGCAGGAGACCAAAGAGCAAGCTCAGTGAGGGTGAGGGAGTCATGCTATAAACAGAATGGACTATGACCAGAACCCCCCAAGAGAAGTGGCCTGGTACCACAGACCAGGAGAACCCTGCTAAGCTCCCTGTATTCTTTGGCACAGAGAGTGGTTTCAAAATATTCCTTCTAGGAGATATGAACTGAAAAATTAAAATGAGAGGAAACCTAATGAATCCCACTCAGGCTATCACCTACCCCTTTAACTACGGAATGGAGAGAATAAAGAGCTAGATGTTTTGAGAACCTACAGAAGCTAAGCAAAATGAAAACTCCACTAAATATTCACTGGGATGTCAATCCTCAAACCTCAGTAGACACTAAGAGAGAAAAGAATGCCCTGCAATTACTAAAATTTGGTATCAAGACTGAGTTATCATTCAGAGAAAGGTCAAAATTGGTAAGAACCCAAAGTTGACCAAATACACAAGTATTGCCCAGCAAATAGTGGAACCCTTGAGTCACACATTCTGCCACACACTCAGTACCTCTGGCACATTCAGCAAGCTTTGAGGCAAAGAGAGGAGCCCTAAACATCACATACCACAGGTACACATTTTGCTTCCCATGCTTGCAATTCCACCTTCACCCCTTAATTCCCACATATCTGCTGTCCCAGTTTCTTACTTGGTCACTAAGAAAAATTAGGCCGGTCAGACAGACTAGACTACAAATTATGTCACAGTTTATCTTTCATACTGGTCTCTCTCTTTTCACCTGATCCTTACACAGCCTCAGACTCCCATAAGCAGCTCACCCTTGAGTTCTGTAATTCTGTTTAGCAGGACACGGTGGGTGCAGACAGCAGACAATTCTTGAGCTTAGGAAAGCTAAGCCACAGCATTCCCCTAAGATGCTTAAATATGTTAGAGAAATAAACATTATTTCTGAGTATTGTTGCTAATAGTATTCACAACAGTATTGATAAATTACTATCCTCTGCCAAAAAGAGGCTACAAAACCTGATATAATCAGACAACATTCAGTTTCTTTTCACATGCAGTATGCCTAGGCCCATCCCACTCACCCCCAAAGAATCAAAGCCTGTGACTCAACGTAAATTTAGGAAGGCAAAGTAAGAAAGTTATATTTAAATAACTAAGCAGGGAAAATTGAGAAGAAGTCAGATTTTTAATCTTTTTTAGCAAAGTATTACCACAAACAGTGGTAAATTCCTCTCCAGGCTCCTGACTTAATCTTCTCTGGATTGCAATGTATAAGCCCTCCTTTGTTGGCCACAGTACTTCAACCCCTGCTGATGTGTCAAAAACTGTGAATGTTAGGCAAAACACAAATATGCTTCATTTAATCAGTTTTTTCCTTTTTTTCTCCTTTCTAGAGATGACAACAGATATGACAGAGAGCAATAACACCAAATCCAGCGCTCCCCTCCTGACTCAGAGACACCTGAGGATGGTGACCAAGGATGGACACAGCACATTCCAGATGGACGGTGCCCAAGGCAGAGGTCTGGCATACCTCCGAGACGCATGGGGAATACTAATGGACATGCGCTGGAGATGGATGATGCTTGTCTTCTCTGCCTCTTTTGTCATTCACTGGCTAGTCTTTGCAGTACTTTGGTATCTGCTGGCTGAGATGAATGGGGATCTGGAGCTGGACCATGATGCTCCACCTGACAACCACACTATATGTGTCAAGTACATCACCAGTTTCACAGCTGCTTTCTCCTTCTCACTGGAGACGCAGCTCACGATTGGCTACGGCACTATGTTCCCCAGTGGCGACTGTCCCAGTGCTATTGCTCTGCTGGCAATCCAGATGGTCCTGGGGCTCATGCTGGAAGCCTTCATCACAGGTAATCCTTCAAGCTTAATCTTTAAATAGGGCTAACAACTGGATTTCAGAATGGAGCTAGAAATAAATACTGATCATTCTGATACCTGAAAGAACAAGTGAGGCAATCACTACAAGGATGGTGAGATTTCGGCCGTGTAATGCTAAAGGCAAATCCCTTTCATTAACAAAAGACAAATCAGGTGACAGATTTGAACTTGAGAGTTCCACTGTTCACTGGGCAATACCTGCCTTACCACTCTCACTTATTTCTTATACCATTATCTCTCCAAGTTTTTTCCCGTATAATTACAATATTTAAAGTCAGTTTGTTTTAAGGTTTACTTTTGCCTAGCTGAACTATTTTTGTTGATCAGTGTTTAAGTAGCCCTCAACACCCAACGTCATGAAAATTCTTCCAATGTTACGCAGCTCCTTTGGAGGTATTTTAAGTCATTTAAAATAATTTTCAGGTTTAAAGTAATTTGAAATACTTCCAAAACACACAGGTTGCTTTACTGGGTATTACAAAGAGCTCCTACAGTAGCAGCACAACAAGATCGGTTATTGTTGCCAACTACAGTGAGCTGGGGCAAGCTAATTGCTATTCCTACAGCTGCAGTTCACTTCCAAAGACTTCCAAGTAAACATAGTTCAGAGGAAACAGCATGTCAGGGCTATGCTTCTCTAAACACGAGTGGGGTAGCGTGATGCCAGCCCGGCAGTGTCCGCACACTGTCCCTCCAGCCTCGGCCTGTCTGGCAGAGCTGGGGGTGGCAGGGAGCAGCCCAGGCACGGTGCTCTTCCAGCTTGCTCTCTTCTCTCTCCTGTGGTGCAGGTGCTTTTGTGGCAAAGATCGCGCGGCCCAAGAACAGGGCGTTCTCCATCCGCTTCACGCGCTCCGCCGTGCTGACACGCGCCGAGGGCAAGCCCTGCCTCATGTTCCAGGTGGCCAACACACGCTCCAGCCCCCTGACCAGTGTCCAGATCTCTGCCATACTCTACCAGGAGCACGAGAACGGGCAGCTGCACCAAACAAGCATTGACTTCCACCTCGACAGTGTTACTGTGGATGAGTGTCCTTTTTTCACCTTCCCGCTGACCTACTACCATTCCATCACTCCCTCCAGCCCACTGGCTGCTCTCCTCCAGAGAGAACCTCCTCACCACTTTGAGCTGGTTGTCTTCCTGTCAGCCGTGCAGGAGGGCACGGGCGAAACGTGTCAAAGGAGAACATCCTACCTGCCCTCAGAGATCATGCTGTACCATCACTTTGCCCCCGTGCTAGCCCGCAATGCCAAAGGAGAATATCAGATCAAGATGGAGAATTTTGACAAGACTGTACCTGAGCTCCCGGCTGCAGCCGACTCCAAGAGTCCAACAAGGACTGACAAGGAGATCCGCATCAACGGGCAGCACGCTGACAGCTTCCAGCTCTCTGAGCCTGGCCTCACAGAATAGAGAGAGCAGACTCTGAACTGTGTGCTTTTTTAATTATTATCACATTCAACTTTCAGGTTCTCTTCACAACCTTCCTTCCTTGCCTGCCCTGCCATCTTCTCGCGCTCTCTCTTGCACTCCCGTCCCTTTGATCACAACATCACACACAGAGTAAAGAGAACTGGTGTGCCCACTGAGGACAGGCCAGAGCAGCCGCCCGGGACAACGTCGGGTGCAAGAGTCTCGAGACCAGATCTTGGCAATGAGAGGAGCTACCTCCTGGATTCACCAGGCTACGATGGAACGGCACCGACCCCGGGAGATCTCAAAACACCCAAAGCTGACACAATCCTAGCTAACCAGCCTGTGACAGAGCAGGTGGTCCCACACCCGCTGGGCGCGGACTCTGCTCGCCCAGTGCCCAGCGTCCCTCCTCGCCCAGCTCCTGGAGCACACGGAGCTGCATCCTGGTCCCAGAACATCCTGCCAGGCTCTCGTGGCAGCGCAAAGCACTCCTGCTGTGCTTATTAAGCAAAACTGTGACTACTGACTCCCGTTCTTTGTTCTGCCAAACAAGAGAACTTCTCATTTCAGAACAAGCCTATGAAGACACTATCAAAAACCCTGGATGTATATGACATGTGCTGCAGTGGAAATTTTGTCATATTTGGAAACACTGAATAAATTATGTGGCAGTGGAAAAGAGACTATTCTGAATGAAGGAATGTACTTTTATTTTTAAAGGCCTATACACTCCACAGATTCTCACCTCCACATTGCTTGTCTCAAGTACATCTGACCCAGAAGGATGCACCATATATATGAGAAGTAGAACTGCATCCATTTATATTTTATGCTTTTTAACATCAATATATTTGCCTGTACACACAGCACAAAAATATTTAGAGACACTTGAATCAATTTTAAAATAAAAAATTAAAACAAACTATATATGAGACTTCTGTATTTAAGTGCCTCACAAACCCACTGCAATTCAGACACTGTTCTGAAGCTCCTACATAATTTACAAAGCCAAAGGAAAACAGAATGATGGATAATTATTTCCGAGCTCTCAACAAAAGCAGTGCCTATTAGGCGTTTATACTTGAACAGTCAAGTATTAAAGTTATCTTTCAAAGGCAAAAGACACTTCCCAGAAACCCAGATGGCACAAACAGCAACTCTCATCGACACCAACATAACAGAGCACCAAATGTGCTTCCTTTTCACTTCACCCAGGTGGGCAGCAGCAGGAAAAATGGGTCTCAAGCTGCTGATGAGATACTGGTTAACTGAAATCTTTGCAAGCCCCAAAACTGTTCACTGAAGTGTGTTCACAACGTGAAGGAGGTTAGGAAAAACCTGCTTTGGTGTAGGGTCAGGGGAAATAGGCATTAGCCCTCCACAAACACCCCACACAGGGAAGGAGGATGAGGCAGAAGGCCCAAGTCTTTGTTCCAACTGAGCTCTCATTCCAAACTGTTCAAGTGTTGCCTCCCCCTACTCCAGACCTCAGACAGATTTCATTTTATCACAGTTACTTTCAAAACCTGTTTCTAAACTTAATTTTATGGAAAAACATTTGAGTACTGCGGAGCCTGGAGAGCAACACACTAAGTTACACTGCCTTTGCCCTGTCTTTCTCAGCTGGTGACCAATACAGTCTCGAGATCCCTTCTCTTTTCCACCCTCATGTCAGCATCAATGCTTTTCAAGTAGGTCTTGCAAGTGTTTTTTCCACGTTCCCTACCAATGTAAGACATTGATAGGAGTCCCACAAATTAAGCAGCAGTGCAAGAGCAGCAGGACACACATGGAGAGCATGGTCATATCAGACACCAACGCATGCATGTCCCACACAGCAAACGTCACTGCAGCCACCAGACAACCAGAACTTCCTCCCATGTTCTCACCACTCTCAGAATACAGATTCCACCTAAATGGGTATGTTCCATCTCTCCAAGATGACAACCCACTCAGACTCAAGCTCAGCTTAACATTCAAACAGATGCACAGGGCCACAATGAAGGGTCCAGCATCCTGCCTGGACACAGCCAGTGTGAAGCACTTCAGATTCACAACAGGGACATAGGGGACCCCACGGCAACCTGAGCCAACAGGAGGTTCATATGATGACTAAAACTAATTTGATCAACAGTAAATCCACCAGCACATGAAGCTCAGAACACTGGAATCTGCCGCATACTAGCAAGTATTCAAAAAACTTAACAGCCCACAAAGTTTAGAAGTCATAGGCACCAAAACAGCAATGCCAGAAACATCTAAAAGCTGCACTGAAAACACATCCTGCCACAGCACACCAGTTCAGCAGCACAGGCTCCTTTCACAGAGGTACAGGGATTTGGTTCCAGCTGCAGACATCACATCTGAATTGAATAAACAGAACCTACTTACTGTAGATTTTTTCTTGTCTACATTTAAAAGCCCAGTAGTGAAAACAACACAAATAAGAGAACCAACACTTTGAGAGCACATTTAGGTAACCTGGCACAGAGTCATGAGCCTTGTGTCAACAATACACTTGGAGCAATAAGAAATGTTTACATGGGGACAGGTCCCTTTCCCCAAACACACCCTGCTCCTCCCTCCCATTTGCTGCCCACACAGTGACAAAACCATACCTGGATCTTTTCGCCCTGGTTTTTCAAAGCGTCTGTCTCCCCTAGAAAGGCAGAATAAAAGTTTCAAATAAGGTTTTGGAACTTCTCCACTCATTTCAGGCATGGGTTTTGTTGGGGTTTTGACTCAGTAGGGGGCTTTTCTAAAGTCAGAGACTGAAGGACAGTATCTTTAGCAGTCCAGGTGACAACTGAAATTTTCAGGAAGACTGAAACAGGGTACGCTCCAAAATGTGCCCCTAAGTACTGTCAGCAATGTCAAGACTAAAACTGAAGTGAATCCTTTAGCAATCCACCATTTCCACTGCAACTGTCAAAATTTATGTTCTCTTAAATTATTTGCAGAAAAATGCTCTTTCACTTGCTCCTGAGTCTCTGGAAACATTACTGTCTTGACTCCATCTTAGAAATTCAGACACTTCACTCAGAGATACAACTAAATCACCTTTCCTAAAGTTTTTTTTGAAGTCAAAAGGCACAAATGGAAGCTGAACACGTGTGTAAAAATCTTTAAGGGCTAGAGTTGTGTTACCTTTCCTCCCAACTCTGTGATCTGTGCATTTCCCTGCCCCCTCCTCGCCCAAATCCACCCTCCACTTCATCAAAACTTCTTTGGTAGAAACCGCTTTCTCCTCGGCCTCTGCCTGAAAAGACAAAAAACACAAGTGTTTGTATAAATAATAAGAGAAGTTGAAAGAGTCAGGTAGGTTTCCCTTTCCTGGTGTCCCTGTGGACTAATCTTGCAGTATTAAGTTCCAGTGAAATTATCTGGGGCAAAGGAAAAAAAGAATAAAGACTGAAGAGTCTTATGTAAAAATTCTTATCAAGAAGCACAGGACCAAACAGAACAGGCAGACAGCTCTGAAATAAACAGTATGCAGAAAAACACAGAAAACATACTTACCCACGAGAAGTTCCCCAGCAAGGGTGCACTGTTCACACGTGCAGTCTGCACTCCTACCAGTCAGATGTTTCAACAGCAGACCCCAGCATGGGGATGCTGCACTGCAGATGGGCTCCCAGTTACTGCCATCAAGGCTAATAAAGGAGAAGGAAGCTCCACCACTGCCAAGTTCTAGACATGCCCAGCAGAAATCTCACCCAGGACCCATGGGGAGAAAAGAAGGATCACAGGATGGGTATTGGTAAGTCAGAATGAAGAACCCCATTAGCTATAGCTTCAGTATTATCCTCCTCACTTGTCAATAAATGATTCCCTGTAAGCAGCTACAAAGCACCAAGTCAAGCCAAAGTTAGACACATACTCAAGCAAAGCATCTCAAAGTGCATCTTCAGTGTCTGGGAAGGCATGGGCAGTTTGGATAAGAAAAGCCACCACCATGCAACTGAAAAACAACACCCACACACTTCCAAGACAGTTTCCAGCACCAGTTAGCTTAATGGCTGGGGTGAAACTTCCACAACCACAAGAGAAACACTGCTTCACACAGTGCTACACCCAGAGAAATGACAGGTTTTTAATCAGCTAACTTACCACTTCAAGGACCTCACGCAAAGAGGAACAAGTGAGACATCAATCAGCTGGTTGCCAGGATAATGATTTTCCTGCATACATGTGCAGTCCCTATAGTCAAGTTCAAAACCCAAAAAGCCCCTGATAACAGGAATTCTTGGCTGTGAGACTATCACAAACATCAGTCCTTTCTGTCTCTTCTGGCTTCAAGAAATAAGTAACACCTCAAAGGATGAGATCAGGGACCCAGAGGAATAAGACAATGACCAAATGAAACATGAAATAAACACCACGAGAATAGACCGCAATCCCTGCAGTCTCTGAAGAAAATAAAAAGCCTCTACATCTAAAATCTAAAGACACCTGGATGCATCAAGGGATTATACCATGTTTCAGTGTCTATTGAAGAGAGGCTCAAAAAAAGGGAAACCATCAAGGCAGTTGCAACAGTTTCTCTGCTATTCTACACCAAATCTCTTGAGGGAAAAGCGGGGAGAGAAGCTGCTTTCCAGGCAGAGAAGAAGAAAAAACTGATACACAGATAACTCAGTTCTGCTCTTCAAATACACAGCTGACTTTGTATCGGGCAGAACAAGCTGCAGGCTGTAAAAGGAACAATTTAAATACCCTCTTTTGGACAAAACTATCCTGTTCCTAGCACCAGCAAAGCCATTCCATGGCAAAGCCATTCCTCCTTGTCAGAGATGGAGGCTTCCATACCACAGAGTTTGGGGAATGCTTAAATTCAGATGGAGACTGGACAAACATTTACTAAACACAGAGTCCACATCAGGTTCAGGAAATACACTGAGCTGCAAATACCTGGAATCTCAGCCTCTTCACCTTTGTGTTTTTACTCAATCCAAGGTGCCTTAGAATTAACAAGGCTGGAGGAGACCTCTGAGACA